ATCACCTCACATTCTGTAGCAACTGTTTCCACGGCAACGGAGAGATTCGGTTGCCAGGCACCCGAGAGCAATGCATGTGATTGTTAGTTATTTATTTAATTCTATCTTTATCTATTTGTTCATTCTAAATGCGTCGGCACTCGCGTTCACGTGCACGCACGCACCGCCGACACACACACGCGCGCACACACACACACACACACACACACACACATCTGCGAGCACACGGCTCCCCACACACACCCCACACACACCCCACACACTCCGCATCCACACGTATACGGGAACTGTTACCGTTTTTTGTAAACACACACACGTACGCAGACACACACGCGCGCGCGCGCGCGCACGCGCACACACGGCTGGCACGCTAACTAACTCACCCATCTGCATTTACCACAGGTGCGAAACGTGTGCAGAGGATGACAAACAGTGATTATCATAGCAATAAGGATCCTAATCTGAGCTCTGCTCTCCTCCTGGCCTTCTGTTCCCTCCTCTCATCTGCCACATCTCATCTCACAGGAGCTGCACAGTGATAAAGACAGGCCCTAATGAGAGGGCTCTTATTGCACTGCGATTCCCTCCCTCCTGTCCTTTACTCTCCCTTCCCCTATTTCACATCCATCCTTCTCTTTTTTTTTATTATCTACAACATCTCCTCTGTCTCCCTCTCTCTCTCTCTACATCCTTGAGTTTTGTGCGTCTGGATAAATAGTACGGGGGGGTAATTGTAATGGAGTGACCCGTCGAGGAGGAAATTACCACTATCTTTTTGAGTGGCCAAATCCCAAAACATACTCATTCAAACCGTTGGCTTTATAGCTGCAGGGTTATGTCTGGGGGAATTTGGGATGTGAAGGGGGAAAGGAGGACTGCATTCCTGAGGACAAGGGAGTTTTTTTTTTAAAGAGTAGAAACAACGGTGTGGATTTGTCAGCTCTTTTTGGGGGGGTTAAGAGGGAAAGAATTACGGGTGATTTGAGTGCTGGCTGTAAAAGCGGCGATCCTGATTATACAGCACTTTAGATATCCGGCGTTGGCAGTCGAGTTAAAGC